TTCCCCTGTGTCTTTATTTCGCCAATCCCAACTCACTGATGAGCTCCGGGGATTGACGAAATAATAAGGTTCGTCTGAGGAAGGAGCGAAACGAACCGTATCTAATTATTTTGTTTATAATGGTTTTTCTTTCTTAATTGGTCTCCTAATGCTGAGTGATGCTGGATCCATGATGATGCAACGAATCACACTAAGCTGCTGCGCGTCAACTGAAAACCAGCTGCTGAACTGAAAACGGTTTTAGCGTTTATGCTAACGACGCGCTGAAATGAAATGCATGTTCAGGACGATGAAAAGATACATATGCCCCTTCTCCAATATATATTATCTTTTGACCAGTTGAGTGTTGCGTGCACAACACAATTATCCGACGATGCAAAATAGTGTGAGCAAATTCTCGAACGGAGCATGATCAGCCACAATTGCTTTACTCCTACCTCCAGACTTAATTCTAACTGTTTCTTCTCTCTCTCTCTCCGTGCTATCTCTGGACTATGTGGCGATTTTAGATTTTAGCCCCGCTCACTTCGGTGCATGCACCACCCACCAGTTGAGCTTGTTTTCTCGCTAATCTCTCTCCACTTTTTTCCGGTATCCGGATTGTTTCTGAAACGAATTATGAGAAGTTGTGGCCAATTCCGCTCACTTTGGTGCGTGCACCATCCCCAATAGCAGTTGAACTGCTTTCCTTTGCCAACTTACCGACGTTTGGAAGCTTTGGATCGAATTAGAAGTGCTATCGGTGAGTGGAGTACGCACCAAAGTGTTCGAGATTCGGTGGCGAACTCTAGTAACCTCGGTGCATGTACCACCCATCAATAGCAGCTGACCTTGTTTTGTTTGCCAAATTCTATTCACTTTTTTTCCCGGTCCGTTGGCTGTCTTCAACTGATTTATATCATTCCTGGCAAATTCCGCCTACTCTAAGACTCTTCGGAATCGGACTATGAGGTCTTGCGGGGAATGGTATCTACTACGAAACACACTCCGTCCATGGTGGGTTCGCTCACGTCATGTATGCTGCAATATCTTGGATTTCGATTCTACCCTACCCCAATATTATTCTGCTTTGTAGACTCTCTCCTGACTGAGTTATGAATTTATCAAGCATCGAGTTTTTATAAAGCGCGGCCTACCGCAGGTGGTTCTCCCTAATTCGGTCTGACTCATGAATGCACACGTTTTGGAAGAAAATTTGGCATGGTCGCCAGTATCGCCCATTGCGATGGTCACCGCATCCACCAGCTGACGAATGTTTTGAAATTCTTGAGACATGGTCACTTATCCCAACTTGACCCAGCCCCTCTCAGGGAACTAGGGAA